AGGCCCGGACCCAAAGTGGGGGGGAGGGGTTGGACACAGGCCTCTGTCCCTGCCCTGCCCCCTGTCATTTCTGACGGGCAACTGACTAATGTATATATAATGCCTCTTAATGGGCTTAATACTGAAGGTCAGAAGAACAACTTTTCCTATGCAAACCATTGCCATCTATCAAAATAAGAGAATAACCATGAATTAATAAACAAACCAAAAATGAAGTAAGCTTTCTAGGGGCAAGAAGCAAATTGTTTTGTAAAGAAGAAATGTAGATGCTCTTTGGTATCAAATGATGAAATCTATGTCAAAATACACACTGTACTGATGAACTTTAGGCCTGAGGGAGAATGAGGAGCAGTGACATGATGCATAACTGTTGAATTTTATTAAAACTGACTACAATGAGGCAAATCTGCAAAGGTTTGTCCTTTGTGATTTAATCAAAGAAATGTAATATTTTGTGCCATACCAATTAATATGTTATTCAATTGTAGCCTGCTGGTAGAACAAAAGAACAAGAGGATATTCCAGATAGGATACAGAAGTGTTCCAAAGGACAACCCTTGAAAATTATCTGCCAGTACAACAATCAGAGAGAGAAATACATATATAAACATGTGCCACAGGAAAAACCTCTCTAGTTAAAAACAACAAAAATTACAGGACAATGTCAATGTGGAGAAAGGAAATAAAAATAATAATAGTCCAGTTACAGCATGGTGGCACCATGTTAATGTGATATTAACAGGAGATAAAAATAAAGAGTGTGCACAAACAAAGATAAGTCCTAACATCTCAAAAAGGAAAAGGTACTGAACATTCTCAATTTATCCTGACATGCCTTAGTATCGTAGCAGAGCTGTACAACCTCCTGCTAAACAGCCATTGTCTCACTGGCTCTTGCAGTGAAGTAGCAATTGACACAGAGGACATATCCTTTAGCTGTTTCAAACCAATGGATTTAGCTTCAGAGAAGTCAGTGGACTTATTCCAATCTACACCAGCTGAGGATCTGACAAAATCTAAAACAAAGCTCTGAATGCTTAAGTTTTTCAGAAAATATAGAATAAGGGATTGTGTTTTCATTACTTGCCTGTTATTTTTGTATTTAATAATTGGAATTAAAAACAAACAAAAGGCTCAAAAACAAACTTTCACTGACGGCATCTGAATCAAATGGTAACAGCTGCATAGCTCTGTTTCTTGTCCCTCACTCTCTTACCACCCCCAGGGTTGAAATCAGTAGAAATGACCAAGACTTAAACATGAATATCCAAGTAAACACACACATACACACAGAATTATCCAACAGAATGGAATTAATTGAGATGGGATAAAGAGCATACAGTAAATAAATCCATATTTATGCTTTAAAACCTCCATGTGATACCACACTGAAAACCCACTGCAAAGATAAAGGTTCACCTGAACCCCTCTTTAAAGATAACACAATACAGGAGGGCTGTTTTTAACTTTCTCCCTCTGTTCTCCCTACTGGCTCTAAAAGAATAAATGTTCAGTTTTATTTTTTGTCTTGCTTTCTCAGGCCTGTGGAGAAAACAGGGACTGTGGTACAACATGCACAAATGCTCCCATCATAACAGCAAAGCAAAACAGTTGTGAGAGCCAGTTGTGTCACCCCAGTTGAGAAATTGGGATCCCACATTTCAGAATATGGCTGGCAGTAAAATCTCATCTTTCTCCTGGATACTGCACCAAAAATGCCAGTACTGCAAAAGGAACACTGTAACCATAGCAACAAGCAGTTCAAGCTTCAAACTTTTCAACAGACTACTTGATTATTTTCTATTTTTACTTTTTTTGTGGCTTTAAATTCACCACAAGCTCTTTCCTCCTGCAGCTACTCGTTAATTTCTCAGAAATAATCTCCCTGCTAGTTATTTTTTGCTTAAATTAAGAAAACTGCCTCCCTTAAGCAGTTAGGCACATTCATTAGGGAGACCTCTTCAAGAAAAGAAATAGAATGTCATTTTTGGAGAAGATGGTAGAAACAAGAAGAAATCAGGTTCTCCCCATTAATCCACGTACTTTCCCATAAATTATTGATATATGGTCTAAAATATCATAACACAAAAAATACAAGGAGTAAAATGGATTAGCAAGATAAACTTTGCTCTGCCCACTTCCTTTTGCTATCATGAAGTGGGAGGATTTTGTCCATTTTTATCGCTACAATTTACAAGCTCATTTGAAGGAGTATCCACTATAAAAATAGGGTAACACATTCTGTCTTTGGGTTCCTGAAATTTTCACACGTAGTAAACTGTTTCAGACACCTTAAATTCACACACTTTTAGTAATCTAAATGTTCCCCCATTACTGTAAGTTTTTGAAAGGTACTGGGGATGAGATGAAATGACATCTTGGGGTTTTTTAGAAAAAAAAAAACATACCAGAGATTTAATTAAGGTCTGCAGAACAAACCATTTTTTCCCTGAAGGCCAGAAGCATATTACAAAATGTCTAGTATTTATCAATTAAAACATAAATACAGAGGAAAACTGAATCTGTTATGGAGACTAAAGGAATTAAATCTACACTAATTCCAATGCTCAATAGTGCTGTTAGGCTGACAGTTTAATTGTTTTCTGTCATCTTCAGCTTCCTTTACATTTTCTTATATCTTTGTATCTACAATTTTCACATTCCTCTTTCACTTCAGTTCTGCAGAGGGGGTCCCTGCCAGGTTTAAGGGACCCATATTAATAGCAGTTGAAGTTACAACAAAAGATTTGTAGATTATCTGCCCCCTTGGCCTCTACAGATGACTTATTTGTAGCACAATCCTGTAACTGAGGCAGGCTTTATTTGCTGACCCTGGAAACTGGTTGTGAACTGAACTTCTATAGCCAACATACGGACACTATATAACAAGGATGATGGATAGTCCAACAAAACAGATGGGTAAATTTATAAATGTGTGAGAGGACAGGGGGCTTCTTAAATCCCTGTTTTAGAGGCTTATTTGGATATTTTGACATGTAACAGTAATATCCACAAATGTGCCATGCTACAAATGGTTGCTCACTATCAGACTGAATTTTGTCCCTGTTGTTCACGTAAATAAATACCTTTTGAGAAATTCTTTGTTGATATATTTTTTTTAAATCTTCCTTTTAAAAGTTCACATTAGAGACTGCTGGAAACATTCCTTGGTTTTTTTTTTTTTTAAACTAGTTTCAAATGTTTGGTTGTCTTATCAGGATTTTTGCAGCCTGAGCCCTGCAAAGGGCAGGTTCTCAGACTCCTGAATTCAGGGGGAATTGTGTTATTGACTGGAAGGGAAGCTGGATCTTAGCCGCTTGTCTGAAAGCTGTGAATGTGCTAGTGGGAGGCATACTGAGTGGTAATGGAAAGGAAATTGAAAAACATAATCCATTAGCATCTTAAACTAAAAAATACTGGAAGAAAACAAAGGTAATTCTGTACTCTAAGCAGGGGTACGTTAGGTGAAAGGGGCATGCTTATATCACTAAAAGGCTGCCCCCAGGGAGCAGGGCAGTGAGACCTACCAACTCCATTCAGTGGATACACTGCACCCCAAAACAGATGTAACATTGCTATTTTAGTGCAGCAGGCTGTATGCCAGTAATCTCTCCCACAAAAGAGAGCTCATGCTCACACAAAGGCAGCCATGTTACACTGAGTAATGTAATAAATTCAGGTGGTGCATTCAGGTGGTGTAGATGTGCCGTAGGATACCTCGGTCATCATCCTGAAAGATTTTAAGACACTGAACAGAGAGAAGATCAGGTCATTTCCACTGCATCTGCAGCAAGAGGGACTTGTTAAAATTTAAGGGAAGACTCTCTCTCTATATATATTATATATATAAAAACTTAAGAAAGAAATTTTCAACGTATAAGTTAATTATATAGGAGTGCCGAAATGCTACAGAGAATAAGCAATACTTACTTTTATCTTCTTGGCTTTCTTCTGCTGCTTTCCCTTCCTCCTCCTCCTCCTCATCTACCTCTTTCTGTTGCACTTCTTCCTGGTGATCAGAGGCACTAACTGAAAGGCTCTGACAGCAGTGGTTGAACCCACTATCCCGAGGCAGAGTAAAACTCCGGGGTTTTCCCCCATTTCCATTTAGCACTTGCATTTTCTCACCCTCTACTAAAGGAAATGGACCATAGTGATCCTGCAGGTGGCACTTTTGAGTCGGAAGAGTTGATTGCCGCCTGTGTTCTGGTGAGATTACGACTGAGTCAGAGAACACTGAATCCTCAAGGGGCAGAGTCTGAAGGTAGTGCAGTCCTGAGCTTGTCAGTGGTGTCTCTATTAAATCCTGCCAGGAGCGTCTCTGGCTGGCTGTTTTGCGGACAGGTGATTCAGTGGTGCTCCCAACTGCTTCCTGACGGAACTCTTCATGAGAAGACTGCGACTGGGACGTTTCCGTGGATGAAAGCCGGCTGTGCTTTGGTTCCACATAAGGGCTTGCACAACTCATCTATAAAGTGAACAGCAGGGTATTCCTTAGATAGGCACTATATTCAGATCTATTAATAACTGCCACAAAACTATTTTATTACGGGCACATCTACATGTCACCTTACGACACACTACAGTGACAGAGTGATCACGTGAGTCTACACACGACCAGCAGCTACTTTGTCATAGTGGTATGCTCCCCCATTTTAGTGTGCCACTACGGCAAAGTAGAGGCAAAATCTGATTATGCACCATGTTCACGGCACAGTACGGGCGGTTACGGTGCCATGCTTTAGTACTTCCAAAAGGAAGTACTAAAGGACAGAGCTATAGCAACGTCACAATATGGTGATGTGTAGATGCACCAATTAATGATGGTATCTACTTCAGTCACGAGGGAACAAGTTACAAATCTAAACCATTTTGTCTTGTGTGTTTGTATTTTCAGATGTACAGAGTGCATCTATATACTGACATAAATACTATGGTTCAGACTGATCCCCTCATTCTTGTTGAATAATCCCTACTCTGCCAAACAGATCCATGGACTCTCGTGAGACTATTCACTACACTAATAAATAGGTACAAAAATGGCTGAATCTGGTTCTACACTAAGGAGTGAGTACTGCCTACTTTCAAGGTGGCTTTTTACTATAATCTGCACAATTTTTAGGATGATGTTGTCATACCTGGATCTAGCCCAAAGATGAATGGTTTTGGTAAATTCAAAAATGGCTTATCAGTTCACTCCAGGGAAAATACATTTTCCCATTTACATTTATATACATTGTTTGCTCTCAGATAATTCAAAAGCTTCTAAAGCTAGAAACTTCAAAACTTGGCTCATTTTATGTTTTATTTTTATGCAACTTTCCAAGATGAACTGGCTAACAATTTCTTAGAGCGTAGACATAAAAAAAAAATACCAGGATTTAAGTGATGTAATGTGTGTGCATGTTTATTTTAAAGTTAGAAAAGAAGGAAAGCTTCACTATCTCACTGCATTTTTTTTTTTACTCAGCCTGAGTTCCAATGTTTTTCTTGTTGCTCTCTGTGCTACCTCAGTTGGTTTCCCAGTGGCAATTTTATTTTTTGTGTATGTGCCTTCATCATGCATGCTATGAGTAAGAGGTTTGCAGTCTGGCCCTATATTAAAACTGGATGTGAGAAGAAACTGAAAAATATTTGTGAGTGTTTTAATTTATAAATTTTGTAGGTGACAAAATAACTATTTCTGTTGTTTGTATGTTAGTGGAAGACTGAAAGTTTTCTGGAATCTACATATGCATTTTGACTCTGACACTTATTTTGTGCCACAAAGAATCTTTGATCTGGAAGTGTAAGTTTGGGCTGCAGGTAGAGAGCTACTCATTGTGTAAGCTCTGTTTTGCACAGAGCAGTCATGAACATTTTTTTATAACTTAACCAACTTTTTCTGGTGAGCAAGATTATAGATCCTCCTAAATCTGGGTTATGTGCCTATTGGTGAAAGTAGGAGTGTTAGTTGTATTTGTATCTGAAAATATTAATGTGCAAAGATTGTCCCCTTGGGTAAGTTCTGATGCTACTGAGTTGTATTGTTTAAGGAACAATTTCAGTAAAGCTGTGGGTTGAAAAGTACCAGAAGGTTATACATGTTATACGTGTGTATGTTTGCTTTTGAGCAAGAAACGAAGGAAAACATCCTTATCTCACCTTAGTTTTTCACTCAGCCTTACTTTCATAAATGCTTTTCTTGTTGCCCTTTATGCTATCTCAGTTTGTTTCCCAGCAGCACTTTTCATTTTTGTGTGTGCGCCTTCAGTCCTTGTTCATGTCCATGCAACGATAGTTTACTCTCTCTGATTTTTTACTCTATGGAGGCAAATAGTTTCCTTTCTCTCTCTGTAGCTATACAAGATGTAATTATTAAATCACAGTTTCACTTCCTGCCTCTGGACAAGATTCTTTCCTTATTAACAACTAACAACTTCTTCCTTATCACTCTCACTCCAGTAATCCAAAAAACTAATACTACCTACACTTTCATGCTCTGGATATAAACTAATATTTCAATTAATTTCTGGACAGGATTATTTCCCAACAACAAGAAATACAGGCTTCAAATGAACAACACTAAATTTAGAAATGTACATAATCATTAGAGAGCCTTATTTTGATCAGAAAAAGATTAAAGGAGATTTTAGGTTTTAAGGGGAGTTTTATTTACCTTACAGGGGCTGACTGAATGCCAACATTTTAATCAGAAATTGATATAGTGACAACTGTTCTTTACAGTGGTTTGAACGTATTAAGTTTTAGAAAGATTTCAGGAAGATAAAAATAATACTTTTCACCAAACATTTTCAGTTAAGTAACTGCAGAGGACTTACAGAAGGAGGTCGTGGGTATGTGTCATATGGAGGCGGTGGACTGTCTTGTTTGGGTGTTGATGGAGTGTCCGCTTCTTCCTTGTCGCTCTCACTCCAGTAATCTAAAAAGTTGTAAGCAAGTTTTTTATGCATATGTACATAAAATACGAAGTTAATGAAAAGTTCAAGCTAAAGAATCACAGAATCACAGAAAATTAAGGTTCGAAGGGACGCTAGGAGGTCACCTAATGTAATCCCCTGGTCAAAGCAGGACCATCCCCAACTAGACCCTCCCAGCCAAGGCTTTGTGTAGCTGAGTCTTAAAAACTTCCAAGGATGAAAATTTGACAGCCTCTCTGGGTAGCCTGGTCCAGTGCTTTACTATCCTCTTCATGAGAATTTTTTTTCCTAATATCTAAACTAAACTTCCTTTGCTGCAACTTGACACCATTACTTCTTGTTGTGTTATCTGCCACCACTAAGAACAGTCTAGCTTCATCCACTTTGGAACCACCTTGCAGGTAGTTGAAGGCTGCAATTAAATCCCCCTTCAATCTTTTCTCTAGACTAAATAAGCCCAGTTCCCTCAGCCTCTTCTCCTAAGTCATGTGCCCCAGCCTCCCTACCATTTTCATTTGCCCTCCAGCTGACTCTCTCCAATTTGTCTACCTCCTCTCTGTAGTGGGGGACCCAAAACTGGACATGGTACTCCAGATGTGGCCTCACCAGTGCCAAATAGAGGGTAATAATCATTTCCCTCGATCTACTGGCAACACTCCTAGGATCTACTGACAACACTCAGGATGTTGTTAGCCTTCTTGGCAACAAAGGCATACAGTTGGTTTATATATAGCTTATTTTTCCATTGTAATCTCCAGGTCCTTTTCCGCTGCTTAGCTAGTTGGTCCTCAGCCTGTACTGGTGCATGGGATTGTTCCTTCCTAAATGCAGGACTTTGGACTTCTCCTTATTGAGCCTCATGAAATTTCTTTTGGTCCAATCCTCCAGTGAAAAGACAAATCTCAGATACCACTGCAAGTTAAGTCTTAGCAAAAAGCTGACTTTATAAATGACAGCCAGTTTATGTGTGTATAAACTGCAGAAAAAATGCATTCCTTTTTCTTTTTTTTAGATAAATCTGATCTGTCATCATTAGTAGACTACCTGAAGATTTACTTAGGAATTAGGAACACAAACTGTGCAATACAAAAACTGTAAAAATGGCATTTAATAGAAAATGCCCACAAAAATATTACCAAACTTTCAGCCCTACACCTACAATTATACAATTACTACATCAGCATTTGCCAGATAAAACTGGACATATATGGTTTGGGATGTTCTGAAACTATATTTCAAGCAGAAAAAAGTGAAAATATAATCTGCACTAAAATATCACTAAGAAAATTAATTAACATTAAAAATATCAAATTAATCAAAAACAACTGTAACACATCTGAAACCATTTGTACTTCCATGAAACTCCTCTCTTCTTCTCCAAGTACACCCTACCACTTACCAAGTCTTTAAAATGTAATTTTCAGTAATAACCAATTGTATGCAATTTGTTTTATTAATGTGTTTATAAGAAACCTATCACAACAGTGTCCATGGATGAATTGCAGAGGATAAGATAAGCACTGGTTTATGCAATGAAAAATGTCTTACTGATGTTTTTGGAAAATCAATGAAGTGATCAATAAATAATGAGGCAAATCCAATAGGTGTAATGGATGTGTAAGTCCTTGAACCAAATTCAGTGGTGGTGCTTATTGGTGACATCAGTTTTAAGCTTTTCATACAATGGAGTCTAATTTGTATCAATTTGATATTTAGGAAATGGAAAGAGAATAAAAAAGGAAGTTATAGGGGAGTATAGGATTGAGTAAGTGCTTTTGAGCCATAATTAGGGCATCATGCAACTAGGGTGCAGCAACCTGGGCAGCCTAGGCATCAACCTGTGGGGAGGGACGGAAAAATATCAGTTACTGCTACAGCCATACAGTGGCATGGAATTAGCCATAAGTTATTGCTACCCCAATGCGTCCCGCTGGCCTGGGAGCCCAGTTGCTTTGTTAAGTCTTGGCTTTGCACACTTATGACTTAAACCTTCTCCACCCCAACATATGTGGAAAAAAACTTAACTTTTTCATAGCTGGGCACTGCTTACCTTAATTTCACCTCTATGTAACACAAGATCAATGGCAATGCAATTGTTTTGTATACCTGCTGACTGCCAAATCAGTTCAAAGTAAATAATCTTTACACAAACACAAACAACTTATATTACTATTAATATTACCACTCAATTTCTCTCTGTATCAAATCCTGGTATTTAAGGAAATCATTGTATAATAGAACAGTTTGTTCTGTTTTTTAGAACTTGACAAAACAATGGTCCAAATGCAGGCAGCACGTGCTACTTTTCCTCTTGGATATGTGAAGAGATAATGAACGATTTCTGCTTTAACAGATAAGCTATTTAAATCAACAAAAGATTGAAATGTTAACTTTAATTACCCATATTATACAGCTTCCACTTGTATGAATTTGGTTATTGTATTGTCCAATTAAAAATATACTGTAGCCAGTATCATGTTCAGGGACGTAAAAGGTGCAACAGAAGATACATACATTTAAAAAGGAAATAAAAGCTAACTGTAAAGCATACTTCCCCAAATTATGATATGGTTTTAAATGCTAATAACATTGGGGTAAGGGTGGTTTTTTCGGTTTTTATTTGTTTTTAATAATAAATAGGGCTGTATGAAAAAGCTGTTTTGTTTCAGTTTTGGAATCAGCTGTTTCAGAGGACTGTGATTCATTTCCATGTTTCAGATCACTGTTCTGTTTTAATTTGGCTGAATCTGCTTCGGAGTTTCGACGCTGATTCAGAGATTTGGATTGGTCAGGGAGAGTCAGGCCCAGCTCGGCGACTGCAGGTTCTCCCATGGCTTCTCTGGCTGTGTCTGCTTCTCCCCGGGCAGGGGGAGTTGCATGAGTAGCCCCCATGGCTTTCCTGCCCCATCCCCTGCCCGGCCCCAGCATCTTGGCACTTAAAAGAAAAGGGAAAAAAAAAACAAAACCCCGCACTTACCTGCTGCAGGAGCATTAATCAGGGCCTCTGAGGGCTTGTAGCAGAGCCCCCCTGTGCAGCACAGGGCAGTGGGGGGCAGTGTGGATTGCCCCCCCACCCCACTCCTGGCACCTGCACAGCAGCTGCCCCATAGTGTGGGTACAGGACAGCTTAGCAGGGTGCTGGGGCCACTGGGGCTGAGTGGTGCTGGGCTCTGTCTGACTGCTGGAGCTGCCCCAGCTCCCAGACAATGCATGGCACTCTGCCAAGCCATGCTGCACCCACATGATGTAACAGCTGCTGCGCAGGTGCCAAGTGGGGGCAGCCAATCCCCACTGCCCCGCATTGTGCAGAGGGGCTCTGCCATGAGGCCTCAGAGGCCCTGATTGCTGCTGCTGCAGCTGGTGAGTGCGGGGCTTTTTGTTTTTTTTTAAAGTGCCAGGACACTTTAAAGCACGCGGAGGCCAAGAGGTTTCCTTCACCTAGCTGAGAAATGTCTACTGAAAACAGTTGAACAGGAATACAGCTTTCATGAACCATAAATTTGAATTAGTACACAGAAATCCATACGAAATTTCTTTCATATAAACAGAGACCTATACCCTGAAAAAAGTAAATAAAAGTTATAAGCTCTCTGACTTAAAAATATTTTCTCTCAAGTTTCTCAAAAAAAAAAAGATTGAAAATGTTTGCATACAAGTATTTGTATGTTTGTGACAGAAAAGGCTGAGGAAGCTGCTGCTGATGAAACACTTGTCAGCAATTCCACTGCAGCACATGATTGTTGCTGGCTTACAATACAAATATTTATTCTGAAACTAAAATTAAGCTGTGGCTCAATGCTTGTGAAAAAAATTAATGTTTAAAAGTGCTTAAAATTGAGTAAGTAAATAAAACTTGATACTTTTTTGTGCAATGAAATTTTTCTGAGTGGCTCCAGTTTTGGCCTTTGCAAACTTTGAGGGAAAAAAAGAAAATAATCTCCCATTACCTTTAAAAATATCATGACACTTTATCAAGAGTGGGATTTCTGGCACCAATGTCCTGCCACAATTCCAACGTAAGTAACTGACTACATTTAATTAACTTGCTGTATTTATTTGAATCCAAGACAACTCTGAATTTAAGATGACCCCCCAATAATTAGATTCTATACATGGAAAATGTATAAATGTGTTATAATTTTTCACATGTGGAATCTAATTATAGAAGGGTAGTCTTAAATGCATCCCCACTTACTGGTGCAGGAGGGCAAGCAGTGGTAGGGCACAGCTGGCAGGGGAGTCAAATGGTCTGACCCCTACCCTTTGCCCCTTTTGTACCTTACCCCTTGATGCTTATTTCCGCATTACCACTTACCCCCATGTGCTTGCAAGCCCCAGCACTTCCCTCCCTTTTCTCCACCATGGGCCTGTAAACCCTGGCATCTGCCCCACCTACCACTTGTCCCCCTTCCTACCTGGTCCCCGCTGAGGTCTCTGTCCCTTTGCCTGGCCATTTTCTGTTGCTTACCCTTTGGCTCCAGCTCTAGCCCTGCACCCGTCTGGTGCATGGAGCACATGGTTGCTCTAGTCCTAGCCCAGCTTTGCAGCAGCAGTTGCAGCAATGCCAGCTTTGATCCCTGCTGTTGTGTGGCTGGATTGGGGCTGCAGCAACCATGTGCTCTGTCGAGCCAGAGGGTAAGTGGCAACAGGGGTACGGATGAGGGAACAGAGGCTGGGGGGTGGGGCAGGCAATGGGGGAGGAGGGGTCAGAGACAGTGGTGGGCATTGGCTACAGCTCCAACTCCAACTCAGGTTGGGGCCAGAATTGGAGCTGCAGCAGCTGCCTTCCCAACTTGTACTTGAATCCAAGATGAAGGGGGCTTCCCCCTCCCATGTTAAACTGGGGAGAGGAGACTTATCTTGGATTTAAGCAAATAGATAATATTAAATGTTGTTAAACTGCTGTCCTATTTTTCTTCATAGGTGACAACATTTAAATGGTGATCAAAGAATAAAGCAAATTTCAGAAGCCCTCTGAATGAATTATGTTAATTAAATATAA